TGTGTGTGTGTGTGTGTGTGTGTGTTTGTGCGACTCTGTTCGCCATCTCTCTCGCTGAACCGTGTTTACTCTCTCTCTGTCTCTCTCTCTCTCACTTCCTTACCTCTCTCTGCCTCCTCGCTCTCTGCTGCGTCCATCAAAATGACTACGTGAGCCGGTCGAACGACCACAGTCAGCAGGCCTATCAACTCCCGCGGAGATCTCCTCTAGCTGCAGAATAATGGGTGACATCAACAATATGGGGTGCAGCTAGCCGGCGCCACTCCGCACGCATGGCCCAGACTCCAGACTAAACGGTGACGTCAACCGGACTGGCCGCCGACTGCGGCGAGGGCAAACGAAGATCGATCACGGGAGACAAAGCAGCGACAGAGACATGCGAGAGAGAGAGAGAGAGAGAGAGAGAGAGAGAGAGAGAGAGAGAGAGAGAGAGAGAGAGTCAAACCGACAGACAGACAGACAGACAGACAGACCGAACTCAGACAGGAACACAAGACATAGTGCCAGACATGGAGGGGGCCTGGGGGGCCGGGGAGGGTGGGGGGGGTGCCCCTGGGGGGCGCTGGGGTTGCAAGGCCCCATGTGACGGGGAGAGAGACACGGTGGACGAGGAAGGTTAGGGACTGCCTGTCCTTACGTGGCCCCACAGCAGTTTCTACTCCTCCCTCCTCCTCTTCCCTCTCTGCCTGTGCGTCTTCCCTCCCTCCCTCCCTCGCCGCTGCCAGTGGCGGCGATTGTAACTGCCGCTGGTTCAGCCTACCTGTCGTCGGCTCTAGTCCGTAGTCACTCCAGGACTTTCCTGGGGCACTGGGCCCTGGTCCCAGTAGCAAGGAGGAATGGATTTAAATTCATGAATCTGGATGTGTTTTATGCAGAGATGCAGAGAAGCAGATCAATAGCAATTTTCTGCATCTATCCAACAATTAAGTCCACATTCGGGCATCAAATCCAATCCTCTTTGTTTGGTAGTGGGACCAGGGCCCTGGATGGATACCCGTGGGCACTGATGGGTAGCTGTTTTAACACCAAATAAAATTCCAAGGCGAGGCCCACACAACTTCCTGGGCCCGATTCCCGGCTTGTGAGATAAAACTGGGTTCGCAAAAAAAAAAAAAAAAGGGTAAATAAAAGAAAGAGGACTTTTCCTGGATGTCTGTTACCCAAAGTAGGCTTTCTTCTGGACGTACCTGCCCGCAAAACACGTCCAAATAACGAGTCAAAAGACTTCCCACAAGTTCCCGGTGAGTGAGTTTGCAAGTCAGGCAAAGTCACCATGAGCACGACCCCGGGAAGAGGCGGGGGTGAGGAGGCATGGCGGCAAGAAAAAGGGGTAAAACGAAAGAAATGGGGGTCAGTATGTCACAAACGCGACAGCACGGAGCACGTAGCAGATTTCGAGTTCTCAATGCACAGATCAGAATGAGAGCCACACTAGACTAGGAAAGGAAGAAAGGAAGAGGAAGGGGAGAAGAAGAAGAAAAACAAGGAAGACGAGTGTCCCGAACGCGACTGAATTTCGAAAAAATGGACATGAACCACATCGGAAGTAAAACTTCCATCCGGCGTAACGACCCGACCGGTTTCGCCTGGCCGCCGACCAGGACTCATCAGGGGTCTAAGTCACATTCAATGGACACTAGTCTAACAAGCTAAATATACTAAACAGAACCTAGATGACTAGTCCGCCGGCTCAACTCTTCTCATGGGTCAACTCGGTAGTGACAGTCCACAAAACAACAGATCGAGTCCCTATGAAAGACCAGAAGATTGATACCTAGCCCTACTAACATTGGTTCCGATACTGCCGATACCGCGTCCAAGTTATATACGCCGCAAAACCCGAAAACCAGTAGCTGCCAAACGTCGCGCTCACCACAATTATCGTCAATACCCGAAAAGCTAACAGAAATTCTTCTGATACCGTGTTTGAATCATCAAAGCACAAGGGCCCAGTACTAGAGCCTACCAGACAAATGACTACCCCCGGTCTGAACCATCAATACTACCAAAAAGTCGAAAAACCTTACAACACCACTGTTCACCACGGCCACCCACCACAAACCATGCTTATTTCAGAGCCTTCAAGTAACCATAGACCCCCCATCGCATCACCACAATTTCACCATCCCCCATCCACCACAAAAACATTACTTATTTAAAAGGCCCTTACGTTTTCTGAAACCAATCATCAATCCACCAAAAATCGCTCCCTAACGTCGGGCAATTACGACAGGGACCCCCTAAGCACGAAGATCCTCAAAATAACCAACCTCTTTCAAAACACGACCCCACCTCGTCAAAAACGACAGCCAGTCCTTCCACAGTCCGCCAAATCTCTTGAAAAAATTAATTAACGCCGAGTTGAAAAACGAATCCGGATACCTCCTTCTCCACAGTTTGCACTTAAGAGCAAACAAAAAAAGAACCACCATCCCTTCAACAGAGGATGAAGTTCTCGCTCGGTGCAAGAAAGAATTAATAACCGCCAATTTCTTTTGACGGCTTAAAAACGAAGTGAAATCTTGAATACTTGGAAACTTTAATCTACCGTTAACATCTTCTCTCTGATTCTTCATCAACGAAAAATAGAGCACCCCCGTTTTTCCCTCGAACACCTTCAGAACACATCCAAGGAAGTCCCAGCAATTGCCATCATTCGTTTGCTCCAGAGTCAAATTATTATCGTAACAATTTTTAAACAAATCAATAAGTTTCAATCCTCTCTTATACGATCGACAATCATCCTGTCTACAAATGGCAAAAACCGATACATCATCCATAAGCCTAAAGCCACGAAACAACCTCTGATAAGCACCTAAACTTGTCAAAAAAATAAACTCATTGTAGGCACATAATAAACAGACGAGTGCAAGACTGGAGGACTTCCCCATAGGGATACCAATCATCTGTCTCAATACTTTACCAGAAGCCCGAACAAATATTCGATCCAGCTCAAAGGCAACAAAATAAAAAATGGTCCGCAGAGTGACACTTTTCCATCCCAGATTTGTCTTCCCTTTCAACAGTTTTGCCCCCTTTCCTTGCTTCCGTACCCCGACAGCTATCACACCCTTCTCGCCCCAAAAATCTATCACCCACGCCAAAGCTTTCAGGATCGACTCATGAGGTAAGTTCGAAAACATCTCCTTAATATCAAAGGAGACCCCAATAATCAGATCATTATTAGTCAGTCCTGAATTCACTCTGTTAATCAGTCAAAAGCTCATCAGCACTTCGAAGATTGAGGTTACTCCCAGCCGACAAATTCCACAACAAGGCATTAACCGCATGAGAAATAACCCTCCCCCCGACTGCCGAGCATTCCGAAAACGAAGGACAAATCGGCCTCCATCTAAAAACATCCTTATGCTTTGGTAAGCAGTATGCTTCTCCTAAACTCCCCTTCTTCTTCCAATGACTCTCCTCTTGTAGCTGCTTCCCAAGATAATCCTTCTCACTTTCTTGCAACTACAACCGCTCCTCATTTTTACACATTTCAAACGCTGGGTTTTCAAGAAACAACTCATTCATCCCCTGTTGGTAGAGAACTGTTACAAACACACATAAGTATCGCCCATGTTATGGTCAATCGGGCTGCGTACCATCCCTTGTAGCAACACTTTGAAAGGGGCGACATCATCTTCACATAACATTATATCCGAACAGGAACCCTCACCATCACTTATCAAACAGCAGCTAAGTTTCGCAGTTGAAAGGTACTCAGATTTAGGAATATGCAACAAAGGATGAAAGACAAACCCAGCCGTGATCTGCTTACGCAATCCTAAAAGCAGCGAGGACCTAGAGAGACGCACAATATTTTTAGAATTACAGAACCATGCAGGGAATAGCATCGGTTGGTCATTAATACGGAACGACACATCCCCGTCTCGTCGCGGAAGAGATCCATCCGCATTCGCACAGTGACACTCAGCAGATCCTGATCGTGCAAAGGATCGAAAATTATGGATGAGATCACCAATATTCTTATTTCGTCCCCAAACAATGCGCATGCGGCGCACAATCATCCCCTTCCAACTCTCCTGAATATCCAAACTAGCAACCGCCTTTGCACACAACTTCCGCACGCTCGATTTGCAAATATGATTATCATAGGTCACCTTAACCACCAGCCGCTTCCTCACATGTATACCAAATCTAGTCAGCAGGTGATGTGAAAGAAGACATCTGAGCCTAAAATGCGTCCTTTTCTCCCCAAATGTACGAACAACAGTATAGGCAGCAATCAGAACATAAAAATCCCAAAGCCTCAGTTCACGGCGTGTTGAAGGGTTACTAAGAAGAGCAGCAAGTGTTTTTTTCAAAGCAAACGAGCGACTAAGAAACGGAACATTTGGGTCGAACAAGAGAATTACACCACCCTTAAGCCATTCACGTGCGTATCTCAATTCTTTTACTCAAAAACAACAGTGAACAAGACTCCCTCCATACATTCTCTTCAAAACCTTTCATTTGTCTACTAACCGCTCCCCACCTTGACACATAACCGTCATACGATATAAACCATTGTCCTTGCAATGACCAAGGATCTTAAGCAAACTAACCGATATCATACCATCTGAAGCATAAAAAACACAGACCGAGCCCCGACATGTGTCACAACTCGGCTCCTTCAACAGATTACCCTCACAACTTTTCTTTCTTCGCAATCTCTCTCTCAGGCCTGCACGTCTTTTTCTACATCGTTTTGGTTTATCCCGCGTATTTAGTGTCGGGGTCAATAATCGAATGAAAAATTTCTCTGTTTCAAGCAAATCTTCTTTAGGACAACGACAAAGTGGCACAATAGCATACGTATGAATACCCCTCCTCCTAAGCCACTGATACAACCGCTCATTCCGTCGACCTCCATCAATCACCTTCGGATGACACGATCTATAAGCATTCTCCCTCCAACGAGAATGCAGATCTCGCTGCGTACTTCCAACATAAACATGCCGCACCCATGGGGAAACCAAAGCATATAATAGCGGACCACCCCAAGCATCAACACCATCCTGAATACCAACGGCAGACCGCACGACAAACTCTCGCAACTTCCCACACCAAGGGATCACATCAAACAAAACCAGCCCACAAATGGCCAGAGTCAGCAACCTATTCACATCCCTATCACGAAGCCATTCCTGAGACGAAGCACGAAGCTTACTACATAGCCTCACAACTTGCCAAAGAAAATTCGCGTTCGGGCATGACCCTAAAAATTAGCAGAGTCATGCCCTTCGCTCTTACCGGAGGAGTCGGCCCCATCGTTGGAGACTTCAACAACCGAAGCGGCGTTAACATCCTCCTTACCTTTAGTTTCATCCAAGCATGCGCGCTCTGCTCTAATTGTACAATAGCCTCCTTAGTCGGATCCAACTTTGTATACTCGATGCCTTCCTTTTCACATATCGCAATGACCTCCTCCTTCCTCAGGTTCCGTAACTGCTTTCGTGCTTCGCGTACAAAAACATCCCTCTGGCATGCCTGTTCCGCAGGGGACACAGGTCGTTTACCTTTGTCCTTCAATGATGCTCCTCCCACCGCCTCATCTAATTTCGTCTTCAGGTTAGTACCCCTCAGTTTCCTCGTAGTGCCCAATCTTGCCATCGCTTCTTTCAATCGTTCGACCTCCTCTTCAGATTCCTTTTGAGCGTTAACTTTCCGTAACCTCATCTCCTTAAGCAGATCAACTTCACGTTGATGTCTCTCCACCAGCCCTTTCAGCTGCATATTAACTTTCCCAGCTGTGCTCGGCACAATCACCGGTGTCACCTTCGGCCGAACCCGAGCATCACTGGTCGGAGTACAGCCCAAAGCAATACTGCCACGTTTATTACCAGGTCGCATAGCTTCGTTGTCGGCGCGAATACCCTTACAAGGGTATCCGCCCTGGTTTTTGCAAGTGACAGGAAATAGTTTTGGTTTAAAGTTTAAGTACACCGCGCTAGGCGCGGCTGCGTTTGTGACTTATGTTGACTGGAGGGTTGACTAGAGTAAAGAGTGCGTGGGCG